TGTCTGTAAAATGTGATTCTCCGCCAACTTAGGGTCCCAAAATCCAAAACCTTTTTCAATTCAATATGTAACATACTATATAGTACTTGAGCAAATGTCTAACAGTGCACAACATTTAAGCAAGATGTGTTTCTAACTTTTTAAGATATAGCTACTAAATTAAAAAAAAATGTTCCCCACACTACAACCTGTACAACCACAACGTGTCTTCTTAATTCAGTAAGTATTTGAACCGTTCGGTGCAGGGCATTCAGTTCACTATGCGACTTGGTTTTGGCCTTGTGACCCAATTACTGTCAAAATAGTCAATTTATGTCTACTATTCGCATGCACAGAGCACAAATTCTATAGCTTTACCCAGAAAGTCTTGGCAGTGCACCAGCTGTTGTCTACCAGCTGTAGCTGTATGTCAGAATGAGACCAACAAAGAGAGCCTCTCACTGTAGGTGCAGCTGTGCCAAAATAAAAACTAATGCTACAGAGTGTTTATCTCTGCAGATATGTGACTATACTCAGTGGTAGAAAATACAGGATTTAAGCATATGGTGCTTGAGTCTCGCTACAAAGTCACTTCACATGTGCATGTTAAATGAGCATTACTGACATTTCTGTTATTATTGACAGTGCCAGTGTTAGAGTTTTCCCTGCTGTACCAAAAACGTACTGAACCATCACCCCAAAACCGAGGTACATACTGAACTGTGAATTCTGTCTATAGTTACTACCCTACCTTATATCTCATTTGTTTAATGCATACAGAAACCAAAGTGTACAAGGACACATTGTGGTTTTACAGGGCGTTATGTCTCAGACTATTTCTTGGCCAGGTGCAGTAAATCCCTGGTGTCTCACAGTGAGGTTGATAGGCGCACCAGTGGAGACTCCAGGAAGTCATATGGCCCAAAACTACTCACACATACCTCCACAGAAAACACTTCCGTCTTTTGTACCGATTAAACTAACAAAATAAAACGTTAATTAGTGATCTCAAGAGCTGCTGGAAGGTAGATGTTGTTACCTTCAAACGGAGCAAGGCTAGCTGTTTCCCCATTTCCAGTCTTTGTGCTGAGCTAAGCTAATCTGCTGCTGGCTGTGGCTACATATTCCCCGGAATGTCAGCCTATTCCTTTAAGGACAAATTCTTTCTAATTACTTTGTACAGAGACAACATAAGTGAGTGAAAGTGTAAGTGAAATAGGAATATAAGCCCTGACACGAAAATGATCATAGATATTTAGAAAACCCTCTGGTGGGCCATCTATTGCTGATAATCCTGAGAATGTGTCTTAGTTCTGACCACTAAAGAAGACCAGACGACACATAGCTGAAGTGAAGCGTGACGCTGAGGGATTGCACACCCGGAAGACGTCGGGTCTTCTTCACTGAAGTGGAGCAAAAACCAAAAAAAGCCTGCAGAGAGGCCCGACCGTCTCACCAGAGGAGGTGTGGAGCAGAGGCTAGCTTGTTTTGCAGAAAAAAAAATTGGCTGGGGCCACCGTCCCCAGTGCCTTATAAGGCAGTGTTTCTATCCAGCTAGCACATTGAAGCCGGGACTGCTGCTGCTTGGCTGAGAGCAACTCAACTGCACTCCAGAGACGAAGCGGACACTCAGGTTGACTATCAGGGTAAAGACAGAGAACAAGACACACTCCCCACCTCCCTACAGAGCTACACATTAAAGGAAGACGTTCCAGTATGAGCCGGGGGGGGGCAATAAGATAAGAGAAATGGAAAGGAGCAGAGAAGGCTGAGAAAAAAGGGGGAGACAGGAGATGCTGCGTGAGAAGAAGAAAGGAACAAAGAGCAGAAAAAGAAGTGGAGAGAATGTAATGAATCAGCACTATGCGCAACAAAACAAGTGCATTTAGTTATTGGATGTGTTCGCATTGTGAATATGAGGGAGACTGTCAGGGTCCGCCACCAACAGATGATCTGGATGTCTCGTATCGTTCACACTTAAGTGCTGGGCATGAAGTAATCTGGCAGGACCAGGGCTGCAGCTCTATCAAAAGGCTTTGGACTGGAGCTACAGTTAAAATACCTGCAGTGTGTTTAACAAGCCCGAGAGGAGGGGCTGAGCTGCAGGCCGAGAGAGAGAAGCAGAGCCAGGGGGAAAGAGATAAGGCTGAGAAGTGAAAGGGGAAAGTGCAGCCATTCGCAGGGACTTTGAGCCCCATGTATAGCTGCCAACTATTTACTCAATGAGGTCATTTCCTTTAGGACGGCAGAAAGGCAACTTATGTGACTTGCAATCAAGTGTCTGTATTTTTCTTTATCTCGAAAAATGCCCTTTCTTTCGCTTGCCCTCAACAATCGCTCCCTGTAGGCGGAGCTGCCAAGTCAGTCCAGCACTTCGGTCAGCAGTGCGGCGCAGCCAAATCACTACAGTTTGAACCAGGGGAAGGTTGCTGAGACTTGGGGCTGCATTCGATCAGACGCTGATAGAGGCAATAGAGTGATTTAGAGTTTATACGGCCACAGTGTACGGCGCCATTAAAGCACCGTTTGTGTGATTTTTTTGCTGAGTATTCTGTTCTTTTTCAAAGGGGATGTGAATGAATGAATTGGTTTGTTATAGAAGACAAAACTGTTTACAGTGGAATTATAATGGCAGAGTACAGTACTGTATATCCCAGCTTATAAAGGGTCAGCTTTCTTTACAGGAAGGTCAATGAGTTTACTTGACAGATGCTGCAGATTCCTCCCTGTCAGCTTTCCGTATCCTCAGGGTAGACAGCCCACTGCTCCTTGGAAAATTCTAAATACATCTATCTTCAAGTGGACTGCAAAGTACAAACCTGAAATTAATTACAGAGTTTTGTCTACCATGCAGTTATTTAAGAGCCTATATCATAGTCAACAAAGCAGCTTCCTCTGATGTTTTTGTTTTTTTAACGCTGTTGCTATGCCACCATACCAGGGGATTTGTGATTCATTGTTTACCGAATATGAGCCTGTGAGCAATTATTAAGGCACTTAAAGTATGCATGTTTTTATTCCACCTGCAAAAAAGGACATTTCTGAGCCCTTAGTGTTTGTGTGTGCGCGAGAGTGTGTTTGAATCCCACTGTGAGCAGCAAAACTTCTTGATCCCAGCGACAGCGCCGGGGCTGCTAAAAATGGAAAACTGCAGCCTGTTCTCTCCTACGCATGCTTCCCACTCAACTTTTGTCTCAAACACTCAACACCTCTATCTCTCCGGCTCGCGTGCAGGAAGTAAACACCACCGGTGTTCAAGCAAGTATTCTGCTAAATGTTTTAAGGGACCAGGAGTGCCTCAAGAAGCGTGGAGGGGGAACAGGGGAGGAGGGTATGTACAGGGGGGCCCCAAGCTAGATGGGGCCCATTAAAAGGGGTGAGGTGATGCTTTTTGAGATAGACCCGACAGTGTGTTTGCCCTCTGTCAGACTCAGTTAGGGGGCCCAGAAATTCAAACACCACCACTAAGATGGATGTAACTTCACAGCTAACGCAGGCACTGTGACACAGCGCTGGCTCTGGATTACAGTTAGAGGAGAGGGTTTGAAAACAGCATGCTTGTGTCCAGACACTGGAGCTGTCTCTGGTCAGATCATTCCAAATGTTTTCCCCTCAAGTTCAGATTTGTTAGTTCGTGTGGAGAAATGAATCTAACAGGGTTAAACTAAAATGTCAGAAGGCCGTCTTTCCCATTTCAGCCTGATGTCATGTTATACACTGGTACAATGGGAGGATTTTTCCACTGCCTTATGCAACTTTAGGGCAGCCAAAGCATCTGTCAAAGGGTATACCCCTTTTACTTCTTCACCATACCCAGTTCATAGTATTACAAGTATCAATCCTTTGCCAAATAATCTAAACTTTATTCTCCAAAAGAAAGCTGCTATTTGTTAAAGTGGACAATGATACCCTATTTTGATTTTGTATGATGAACTGGTCCATCCATAGACTGACAATCACACTGGATCAGATTCATCCATTTTACTATGGTCAAAAAATATTTTTAATTCTCAATCATGACTCATGAAGAGCTGTAAAAAAAAAGGTGATTCAATCTTACGGGGACAACATGAGACAATCTAGGAAACCAGTCTCACCACTTCAGTTCAGAGAAAAGTGCTGAAAATGCATCAGCTCACTTCTTAGAAAAATATGTTTGAAAGAGTCATGTTAAAGCAGAATCTCTATGATGGGACATAACGGGGAATAACTGAGCTGTCAGTTTGTACATGCACTGACAGGTCGAGGTTTTACATATTAAAAGTAATTTTGATTCAACACTTTTCCATCTTATCAATCGTGCCAAGGATAGCGTGCCCTGTAGTTTAGATTTTTGAATGAGTCACCAGTTCTGACTTGTATCATCATCATCGTTCCAGAAACGGATATATAAATACATTCATTTTAAGATTTAAGAGTTTTGTCTCAGTCAAACATTTAAAAAACAAATACACAAAGGTTGGTACTGGGTGGACAAGACCAGAATAGGTGTGTACTGTATAAACTAGAAGGTAGTGGGATGATCCTGGTCTGGTGGGCCTAACTGTTACCCATGAGGAAGTTTTAGCTGGAAATATCAGTCTCCATAAACACACCAAGTGGGGCATTCTCCACTAGTTAATCCTAATCTGTACATACACTTCACAGAGCCCCAAACTGCACTGTCTGCACTCAGTCTTCGGTATTAAATCAGGCCTATCTACAGTATATCCACCAGCAGGCTCTTATTTTGGTAGATCTAGAAAAAAATATGACAAAATGTCTGATTTCAGGCCAGAATGGTAACTGTGTAGATTGATAACAAGACAATAAATCGTCCAAAGCAGCATCCCAGTGTGCCTGATGTAAAAACAGTGCTAACAGTAGCAGGCTTCAACCCGGGAAGGAAAAGAAGAAAAAAGAAAGATAACTTAATGTCAGTGTTACCTTGAAGTGTGTGAAGTGCATACGTGTCTAGCGTTTCAGCGAAGAGACAACATGGCATCATTAATAATCTATGAGGTGTGTCCCACTTGACTTACCAGCAAACTTTCCAGGTTTATGGCAGATCTGGGATCTCTGATCATGTCCTCCAGCTTCTTGAGCCGGGTTTCCATCCTCCTCTCGGCGCCCAGCGACATGACTGCAGCGTCGGCTCGGTCAAAGTTGGGTAAAATATTAAGAGGTTGTCCCGAACAGTTTCTGAGTTTACATGTGAAACCTCTTTGTTCCTGGCTAATGGCCGTGGGCCTAGCGGAGCAGCCTTGGGCTCTCAGCCCACCCAAATCGCTTCCAACAGGAATACTGTGCACAATGAAGAGAAAAATATTCCCAAAGCAAAGAGAGACTCCCCCCCCAACACCACCACCACCCACCCGCTTCCCAAAACTTGCCGAGAGAGCGGGCCTTTGAGTTAGGCTAGCAGTGTGGCTCTGAGCTAATAAAGATAACGTTACACTGAAGGATCACCTCCCGCTGACTGAAAGATGCATTTTTTCCAACTCGGCGATAAAGTTTGAATGTGGAGACAGCAGCAACAGGCAGCGGCAGCAGGGCGTTTTCTTTGCCCCCCTCTCCTCCCCTTCCCTTTTGGTTTTTTGGCCGCTTGGAAATGCTTTGGACTCGCCTTTTAGGAGATTCCGCTTCGTTTCACCCCATTCAACGAGGTTTGTAGCCCGTTAGTGCTGTAGTTTCTCCTCAGTGCTGCCACAAGTCCTCCGAAGGGGCGATAATGTCTGTTCTCCCGCGCTGAATTTTTAATAAGCAGACACTCTCTTCCTGGATTTCTTCTCGCATTTTCGCATTAGTCCTCCTCGTCCTGTCCTCGTTGTCGGCTTTGTTCACACAGATAAGTAGTTTTATTCGCGGAGAAAAGTCCTCCAGCGGCTGACTTCTTCGCCGTACACTCACATCTACACACACCAACACACACTGAGTCAGCCTCTCTCCCTCCCCCTGACATCAACACACCGAGAACTCAGTTACCCATGAGCCATCGGTCCTCCTGCGCCTCTATCTCCCTGTCTGTCTGCCTCTGTCTTTGACTTTGTTTTATACTTTCACGCTGTTGTAAAAACGAGTTATTAGCTGGTAAACAGAATAGTACATATGACAGTATTCCAGATATTTGACAATCCAACAGATAATCCTCTGATTGGCTTTCACTCCCACAACTAAATCTGAAAAATAAAGTTTTTTTCTGCAGTAATTAAGTGTACCATTTACACATAGAGAAAGGGTTCCAGCTTTTTTAAAGTTTCATATCACCAAAATCTGATGATATTCATTACAATAATAATACATCCAACCTGCTCCTTGTAACTGATCAAATCAACTATTAAGGATAATATGCACCCTCTGGGATCTATAGTGGATATCTTGTTTTCACTAGGATTTTCACTAGGATATGATCTCAGTAACAGAAATGAACAGGATAGCAGGACAAATGTGTCTGTGTAATGATTGTATTAAATAAATAATTAACAATAAAGTGTGGGAGTTTGGGGTGATGTATTCTGTCTCACACAACAGAGGGAGCACTTGGACCACAGATACATCCCTTCACCTTGCTCCAGCTTAATGCATCTCTCTATTATAATGAACTGCTTTCAAATCTTTCCACAATAACTGTTCAGCTGTTGTTCCTTTCACTGGCGTAGTACAACAGTCATTCAGTCTGCAGCCATTTACATTTACATTTGCCATTCAATACACAGCTGGCTGAGCTCTTTCCTGGGAACAATCCTGTATCAGTAACAGGAAGTGATGCATTTTACATTTTCTTTATTTGGAACAGTTTGCATCAGGAGCAGCAGCCACAGTGGTGGAACAGACAAACACATGAGCGCCACCTACAGAAACATGAACTTTAATAATAGAAAATTCAAGGAAAAGCTCTGATAGTAGTTTGTTTGACAGGTGATACCTGGGAAATGTAGTGTGAGTCAACACAGTGATGAACTGCCTGCATGTTTTACCTCTAATCTCCTCTTTCAGCTTATAAAACCAAACCAGGATGTTTTCAGTAATCGTGTCTCATCACTTATCGAAGGAGAGATGAAGCAGTACGCCAGACATTACAGCCACCACTCTGAACTCATTTTATCTACTAATCTGAATTTATTTGATCTGATCATTTTTGGTAAAGGCAAATACGAGACAAAGGCAGTGTGACCTATGACTTTACTCTTCATCTTGATTCAGATTCCAGATTGTTGATGAAGTTTAATTGAGTCGTTGATTTCCAAAGCAGCAATCAGAGGTGGGAAAAAGAAACACACTGCACCCCTGCTGACGCCGCTCATGCCTGAGAAAATTCTCATTACTTTTCTTTTTTTATTTTATCTTTGTTTGTTAAACCGGTTTAGGAGATATATTAAGTTTTTATTTTGAACAGGTTTTAATTTATTTGTATAAATTAAGTTTCTGTACACTGAAGACGTCGCTCGAGCAGTCTAGTAAATTCATACAGTGTATCTGTATGTTTTATAGTCCTTTTCCACAAAATCAATTGTTGTCATTGTAGTAAAAGCACAGGAGTTATTAATAACTTTAATGATGGCTCAGTTCGATTCAAGTGTCTCAGAGAGCCAAGACAATGTGACAGTGAACCAGCAGGAACAACACCGGGGTCCTGAAACTGAAGCAGCTAAATGGAATTCAGCCAACATTAACTTTGATTATATTATATTTATTATTACTACAGCTGTGCTTTTCCTACTGTGACATGTCAAAATGTCTTCAGTGAAAAAGGCTTATGTATTATTATTATTTTGAATAATATAAGGACTACTGCAGAAGAATAATAAATAATGCAATAATGACAAAAATAACTATTGTTAATGCTAATAACAATGTATTATTAGTATACAGAAACAATGACTAAAATAAGTCCTGTTTTATCCCAGACAAAGTCTGATTTGTTTTGTTTTTTTATTAAAACAGTATATTGTCAATAAGTTAATAATAGAATAATAATCTTCAACTTATTTCATCTTATATAATATATTCTCTACGTTGGAATATGTTCATGTTATTTTGTCTCTTCCATATATGCATACAGGGTGGTAAAATATAAATGAATCACCTCAACATATCTTTGACTGACAAGTTTTTTTCCACACAGCTGTTGTATCCATGCATTTTACTGTGTGTTCATTAAATTGTGTCCACTTCTTGTTTATATCTCCCCAATGAGGAAATCAAGTCTTTTCCCATTACCTTCCTACTAAGGAATGGGCCGATACTTTGAGGAGCCATAAGATGGCGCTAGAGACCATTAAATCCACATTTCTCATCCGCAGAGCTGTGACCTAAAAGTCAGATATATCCCTCCAACTGTACACCATAACAAGTTAGAGCAGTCAAAGCAGATGGATTACTTCAAAACAGTTTGTTGCTTCACTAAAAGTGGGTTTATTTCTAAAATAATATTGAAATGTCACTATATCACCAATTATTTCTGACATTTTATTAGTCACATATATCCACCAATTTATAGCCTAAATCATTATGTAACTAGCATTACTGGTGGGCTAATTATTGTAGTAATAATAATACAAAGTAATTACTAAACTCACTTTTATTTTCAATCCCTGTCATCTTCCTCCTCATCAATATTTAAATGGTATAACCAAAAGCCTAACTAGTTATGAATGATTCAATATTCTAAAATGTATTTAAACACGTAATCATTTGTGCATTAATTATTAATCACATTTTAGAGCTGTTAGCGTGACTGTATTTAACTGGTAGGTGCATGTGTCATTCTTGTTTAGGAGCTGGTTTCTGTTGGCATATTAAACTTTATTCAGATTGGCTGACAATTTGTAGCTCATTGATATGGGTTCCTAAGATTAGGTCAGATACTTGCCTGAAGGGCGCTACCGTATACTGTACTGATTCTCTATAATCAAATGTTTTCATGCGCATTGAATGGTTACCATTTTGCTGTATGTAATGCTGTAGTTCATATACAGGAAACAAATACGGAGTACTGTAAATTGTATTAGAGATTAAAAAAATTTACAATTTGCCAGGAATTGTCCCTTTTGTCCTTACACAGCTTTTTCTCTGTGTTTATATCAAAGTTGTTACTGTAGAAAATTTTGACTTAACAACGTGACACCTCTGAAATTCTCCTGCCAGTTATTAATTGTGATTTTCACGGGTTTCCACAGATTCTGGCATGTTGTAAATTATGTGATGAAGCGAGGAATCGTGTCAAAATGTCCCAGTAAATATATCCTAAAAAAAGATTACAGTTTCATGTGATCTCTAGTAAAGCTAATACTCTGTTGTTTGACCTTCATGTGTACATGTACATAGAATGAGCAGATATGACCCATCTGAAACAAGGTTGTGTGTGCCTCTTATTTATTTGTCTTCATGAGCAATTCACTGGATAAAACAAATACTGTTACAACACAAAAAATGATTATTTTCCAAAGCAATTTTGGCCACATGTTATGTACATGTTACAACGTCATAATAAAAAGACAGAAGATCATCTCCTCATATCACTGTTTTCTCCATTTTAATAATTAAAAAAAGCTTTTCACTGTTCACCAGGCATTTACATTGGAATAGAATGCTCAGGTCAAACCACCTTCACTTTTTTTTATTATTTGCAAATGCAAATCTTGTCAACAATAAATAATACTATAAAATGTACACAAAAAGATTGACAGTCCACCACAAGTTAAAACGTTGAACAGATTGGATGTTTAGGAACAAGGAATTTAGGAGGAGGGTTTCTTCTTAGCAAAAATGTGAGGGTTCATACAAGTTACAGAAAAAGCTGATCATCTATACATTGACACTAGCAAGATAACAAAGTTGTTGTTTCTGGTATATTTCATTTTGTACAAAGAAGGGAGTCTTCTTTACAAGCGAGCATCATTGTCTTAACTGTAGAGATTATACAAGCAAGAGTTAAGGCAACTTCTCTGTTGTTTTTGAAAAGTAACATGAAGTCATGTCATGTTTTATTTTGTCTGTGGACCACGCGTCTATATTAGGGTTGGAGTTAGTTGTCATTGCATAATTCAGGCTGCTGACCAGGCCTGTAGTCCATCATCAAAAAAGGAATGCTGGAGATTTGTCACAAGTCTGTTTGCCATCACCGAGACTGATTCAGTGGTCCAGGATTTCCACTTGAGAGTTAGGCTCTCATGTCATCAATAACTGCCTCAGACGTGGACGGTATACCGTTTGCAACGCCAACACAACATGGTGCAGATCAGGGTCAGACATAACATGCATGTTGTTTTGTCTGTGTGTGTCTGAATGTGTGTGTGAAAGTGTCAGGCAGGAGAAAAACCAGACATAATAAAAGAATTTGGTTAGTTCCTCATCAAAAATGAAGCCCCCTTCACCTTTGTAAATCAGTGTAACATTTCTGGTAGAGAAAGTGACTGGAGACTGGAGCCAAGAAGAAGGGTCAGGAAAAGGTCACCAAAACAATTCGCTTTTGTCCTCTGGGGAGCAAATGTACAGAACAGACATTTGGGAAATACACAAGCTTAGCTGTGGTAACAGACAAGATATAGCCTAATGTGCAGTGAGCTTTAGAGGTGTTGGTAGGTTTTTTTCTACCCTCGGACAGAGCCAGGCTAGCTTTCCCCCCTGTTTCCAGTCTTCCAGACAGCTGGCTGTAGCTTCACACTTAAAGGACAGATTAATCTCACTCTCAGCAAGAGAGCAAATAAGTGTATTTGCCAAAAAGTGAACTATTTCTTACTGGCCATTAGCTTTAGATATTTCATGTACAAAGCTGATATTTTGTCCTGAGGGTGGCGCTAGAGGAAAGCTCATAGAGTGTCCGAATAGGAAGGGGTTCATCCTCTGATTAACATCAATGTGCTCAGTGCATTTTATGGCAATCTGCCCACATAGCCATCATTCGTGTCCACTGTTAGCAGGACATAAATTTCTTAGTCTACATGTCATGTACTAACAACACTGACTCCTTTCTTTTCTTTTACAAGGTCAGTCTTCCTGTTTTTTGCAGTGTATGCGAAAGTGTTAGCTTGGAGCAGTAAACAAGCTAACCAGGACACATTGATCATTTTGAAAACCAACAGAACAGTCTTCTCCCACCTTCTTTTAACTGCATGGTGCAGGTTCATGCACTAACAAACAGCAAACTGTAGCCTGGCCTGAGCTGTATCAGTGGCTCAGTTTTGTACAGGGTTGTAGCTACAATTAAACATACTGAGGGCATTTCCTCTATGTTTTTGCAACCAGGGGGGACTTTACATCATAATAAATAGAAAATATAAAAAGTTTGATAAGAAATAACATTTACATAAAGAATAACTTTACAGTTAACTAAATAAATAATATATAACAAACTGAAATAACTGAGATCATTCTTTTTGTTTCCTGGTCAAATTGGTGAGGGCGGGGCTCATGACCACTGAAATCCTAGCCCTGGCCCTGGTTTTATATGACTCCCACATTTTTAGACAGCACAGCCACAGAAACTACAGTGTCCCATTTCTCTGTTACTTCAGTCCTGATTTCTGTTCTGCCACCAGTAAGATTCTGTTTGAGACAACTGGCGGTTGGATGGGGAAATCTCACTTTCTAAGTAAGGGTGCAATTGCTCCATTTCTATTTTTCTGATATAAACTGTAATTTTAGAAATGCTGTGTTTATGGATATCTGTGAAAGGAATATCTCTACCTATGGACAAATGCAATTTGGCAACAGGCAGATGAAACAGGCAGCTTAAAAAGAGCATTTTCACTGCCTTTGCTTGGAGAGAAATGAAGCAGGGGCAAGGAAATGCTTAAAGTGACACCAAAGCTGGGCCTTGGCAAGGAGCAAGCTAAGCCTAAATGCCTGACTAACAGGCAACAGATAGAGTTGCACACTGCTTACTCTGAGTCAACACTCTGTAATCTCAACTGGGCTCTCTGCTTGCACCTGCCTCACACACACACACACACACACGTACACCTAGTTAAATTTACTTACTGTGAATTGTGTGTGTGACATGAGTATGAGTATGAGTACTGTAGGTATGTGTGAATATGTGTATGAGTAAATGTCGGGCCTCATTTGGACACAGAAATAATCACACAATGTCTCACCAAGACAGAATTAACTAAAACAAAGGCTACAGGAAAAACAGTGAGATAGGACTGCAAAGCGATGTACATCTAATGTAACTGATGATTAAATCCTGCATTAAGTTTTTAAGCCAGATTTGTTTTTCACCTTACTTGCAGTGTGACACGGCATAGGCCTTTATAGACTGAATAAACCACAAAGAGAGACAACAGAGTAATGCTGCTTTTGATATCCACTTGTTGTCCTGTAGCTTCCTTTTTTTTTTTTTTTTTAAATAAGTGCTTGTTATTTTGGCAACTATAAATTATCTGGTCAAATCTTCAGTTTCAAATCCCATTTCCACTGAAAACTAGGTGACATGTTTTGCTTCAACACACCAGAGGCCTTTGGCATATGATAATACCTTGTCTTGCACTGGTACAATGTACCTCCTCCATAGGAGTGTAAACTAAATGCTGGCTTTGTTTGATGGAGTCCTAGCTCACATGCTTAAGCTACAGTGTCACTAGATCAGATCGAACTGGATGGGTGACAGTTGTGTTGCATTTACTTAAAGTGCCCAAAAAGCTGTACACAGAGCATGACACTGAATCAAGGAAAACACTGGCTTTAAATGTGGCTTAAAACTAATATTAAAACAACTTGGCAGGATTGGTGGACAACCAAGAGGCAACATTTTAAATATTTCTCAAATTATCTCCAATTGAGTTTTTCCTTGGTGTGTTTATTGTAGAAATATTTCTGTAGTATTACTTTCCTCCAGGTCCCAACAGAATTATTTATGAAAGAGCTGGCTTCCCTCCGCCCCCTCTAAATTCAGTGCAGCCAGTCTCAAACTAACCCATTACAGGAACATCACCAGTGGAAAAGATTAAGAACTAGCCTGCGGTACCAAGTACCCATTGCAGGTTGGCAGAGTTTCTACATTGCCATGTCATCCCAGTTCTTTTGTAGGTGCAGTAAGCTTTGAAACAGCAGGGGCCCCCATTACTGTTACTAGCACAACTTACTGTATAAGCATACAGTCTGCATTCTTGAGGGTGCAAAACTCTGTAGAAGGAATGATTATCATGATTCTGTCTCATTTTTTGCAACAATAAATATTGAGGTTCAATGAACTTTAAGAGCAAACCAAGAGATGCCACAGGACAATTAATTGCTGGTGAACATTTGATTCTTTAGTTTACTGAATAAGTCGGAATAATTCTCAAGGACTGTTCTGCAGCCTCTGATTGAAATATCTTTTTAAATTGTCCTTCAGTCATATTACATTAACAGTATTCATGCTTGTGCTTCTTTTTAGCTACCACCCATCACAATTACCCAGAACACATGTTAGGTTGGCAAGTACATTTTTGCTGGTTGTGCACAAGCAAAGGCCAAGAAAATACAGCAGAATTTCTGCCATTTTTGCCAGCTCTGTGGCTCTACAATCGAAACATTGTGAAATAGGTCTATACCTTAGTGACAAACTGTGTGAGAAAAAATAACACTTACTGGAGCAGAGATTTTGTACCTGTGGTGTGGCACCAGGTTGGACCGAAATAGGAGCATTTCACTGAGGGATGGAAATCTCTCTACGGGGCTCCTTCACTAATGTCCCAGCAGCAGCTCATAGTGTGTTCCATAGTAACAGACAATACAGGGGGCATTTGCGTTGATAGGGGAGAGTGGATAAGCTATAAGAGCCAGTGTGGGCTGAGAGTCTCTAAATGAGGAGAGAAGCAGCGGGGTAAAGTCCTCCTGTTGCAGGGACACTGTCTGCAGTTCAAAGATCAAGCGATCCTGCTGGCCATGACATCAAGTCTGTAGAAGTTCAGTCCATCAGAGTGTCTGTCACATGGACAAAAGGAGTCCTGTCTGCTCGACTATGATACACATCAACATATTTGATTGGACTCTCATCAGTCGTCAAAGGCGATTTGTGGTGCTGGTAGACTGGACGATGAGTGAGGACAAGAAAATTGTTTGTGTGTGCACGTGTGCGGTGGTGTAGTTGGGAGGAGTGGGATTTGGAGGTGGGGGGTGGACAAGTGAGTGTCATTGATGGCACTGTGGTCCTCAGAGCGTCCATCTGTGAAACAAAGCGGGAGGAGAATTAGACTGAGTCACTGGGCGAGCAACCCCCTCCTCCCCAAGGCTGTTTTTTTGTGAAGTCAATGCATGAAGTTAAGCAAGCAGCCCCAACTTTATTCGCAAGGTAAGTGGGAGAAAAGGGGGGTGTTCCAATCAGCATAACAGGGCTTATAAAAGAACCACACAAGAACAGTTTTTATGTTAAAAGCCTTGAGGATCAAATTGGAGAAAATTCTAATTTTCAGCAGTGCTTCCTAATTTGTACACGTAAATCCCTCTCTTTGGTACAAGCAATCAGAATCAGCTTGAGGACACTTCTGGGCAAGTAAAGAATGAACTATTCAGTGTCTGCTTCTCTGGTGATGTAAATTTTACATAATGTTTTAGATATTTCATAATGCATGCTGTATGATATTGCAGACAAGTAGGCAAAGTGAGATACGGCAAACCGATTTTACATTCTCTCTATCAATAATCAGAAATTGGTATCTTAAAGTATGTGAAGGTTATGATTCATTCCAGCTGCTTTTAGCAATACTAATGGTGTATGGGGCTTGATTTCCATCTTTTGTCATTATTAATAATACTCTAATTCAGAGCACTCGCCTCATGTTACCACAACCTGAATTGGCCTTCAATTGCTCTTGAATACAATTTTATTTAATTACCAACTCGAGGAGTGCATTATTAAATTTGGTATTAATGTGTTGAATAAATCCTTTGTTACAAAAGTCTTCCCATTTAAATTCTGAAGCTCGTGAAGGTAATCTGCCTCAGTCAAAGTAAAGCAACTTCAAGCAAGTCATCTTCCTGTAAAATGGGAGCAATGTGCTGGCTCATGAGGAAATATATGTGTAAATTCTAGAATATGTATGTCTTGACTGAACACATTAGTATACTAGTATGTTTCCATTTATAATAATATTTGATGAGCTCATATCGGGTTTAAAAATGTTATTTTAATGCAATTAACAAGTTTAATTTTAGTGTCTAAGTGCTCAGGGTAAGATTCTTGGGGAAATCCTGGCATATCCCCTGTCATACCCAGATGTACTAACACCTCCTTTTAAGGATGGATCATTTCATCTTTTCAAAAATGGGCTTCATATCATGGTCTCTCCTGGTTCATTAACCCTTGTAGAGGCTTTTCACAGTCATACTCTGTGAGTGCCCCTGCAGGTGACATTCAAATACATCACAGCAGAGGTAAGGCTTGGGAACGTGAACTCTGACATTCTTTTTGGATAATAATCCAGTTAATGCTTGTCCTCTTCAGAACTGTCTATGTGTGGGCACACTGTGTCTACCCTTGAATCAAGCATCACATTGTGAAATTCTGATGAAGTGATCAGCCTTATTGTGCCATTTCAAAATGATCATGCTACACATGACAAAACATAAAATAACACTGTTGTCAGAATCTCCCAAATTTTAAGATGATAAGACCAAGTATGAATAGTAAACAACTGATTAAAGAACATTTTGGAAGTAAAGGCGATGATTTCAAATAATTTAAAGATACACACTGGGGAGTGAGAGACATTTGAAACATCAAAACCGACTGATTATTTGATGGGCACCCTACAGTGAATTACAAAATGTCACTGAATAAATCTGTGTAAATTTATACTTAAATACAGACTGCCCACAACTGCATAAAAGTGTTAGAGGTAGCACACTGGGGTTAACGCACCTCATTTGTTTTGATTGCGGATTCGCAGACACCTCCTCTTCAGTGGCGGCTCCAACTCGGGGCTCCCGGCTGCTGATACAGGGGCACTGATGGAGCAGGACAGGATGGCTGTCTTGTCAGCGCCGGGCTTTGGCACAGGCTGGATGACGACACAGCCTCCGGTAGACAGCAGTGGCAGGGCATAGGCGTGCTCACCCTCCTCCAAGTTGGAGTCAGGGTCTGGCTTACCCTCCACTGTGTCCGCCATCTCGTCTTGCACTGGGCCCCGCCTCCCCGGCTCCCAATCTCCGACCGAGCAATTGTTCTCTTTCAATGCTTCACGCTCTAGCTCACCATTGGCTGGCTGCTCCTCTGCCTCTCCTTCTCCTGTAACGCTGTCTCCTCTCCGGTCAGGGCAAGACTCAAAGGCAGGAGGGGGAAGCGAATGCCATCCCGTACCATTGACTATGACATTACATGGGGCAGCAGGGCTAGTTTGGAGCTGGGGCAAGGGTTGTGGCTGGGTCCGTGCTGTGCTAGGTAAGGGTGGTGGGGTAAGATTGGAGATACAGGGATTTAGCAGGCTCACTGGAGGATCCGCATTGCAAGAAGGGCTGCTGTTGCTGGAGGGTGGGCCTGATGATTCCAGTGTGCTTGGGAGTGTGGCCCCTTCCAGCTCGGTAGCACTGAGGAGGCCCTGTGAGAGGGCCCCCTCCCCCCCATCACGACTACCCTTCCCTTCCCTCCCCAACCCAGTAGCTGGTGGAGATCTTGAGTCAGCCTCTGCCTCTACTTTGACCTGGACCCCAGGTAGCATCATCTGAATTACCTGCTGTTGGCATGACCTCTGGCCCACAGTTAGATCAATCACTCCATCCATCGGTCCGGGGCCGCTGCTTAGACACAGGTTGCCCGAATTGTCCTCTGCCTTCACAGTCAAGTCCACTAACGCTGTCCTGCTTCTCTCAGAGCGTACAGGAGAGAGATGCTCTGTACCAGCTGGCTCTACTTTCTGCTCCCCTCTGTCACCTCCAGAGGAACCTGGAGAGTGGAGCCTAGAAGCTGAAGCTTCAGAGGACTCTGGAGCACTTCGGACGGAGCCACTTCTCTCCGGCTGGTCCCTGGAAGCTTTGGGACTGAAGGGAATTGGGATTGGGATAGGAATTGGGACTGGGAGGGGTACAATGACAGGGTAAGGGACCAAGAGAGTTGGTGGGGGTACCAAAGGGGCCAAGGATGGCATGCCAAAGTTCATCATTGGGGGCAGAGGAATGCGTCCATTGGGCATCATGTTGACTGGTGGGAAAGGGGGCATGCCTGGCATGGGGAGTCCAGGATGGGGAGGCATCATGCCAGGGTTTGGATTGGATGAGGGGTGGACATGTGGAGACAGCAGGGGCCTGTGCATGGGGCTTGATGCTGGACCAATGGTCCTAGGGGGAGGTGGTGGACCAATACCAGGGATAATAGGGTTTGACAAGGGGCTATTGGGCCCTGCTGGGTGGGCAGAGGGACGAAGAAATGGTGGACGGATATGCTGCATCATTTGATGCTCCATGAACAGGGGCAGGGGCATGGGTCCCCGGGGTGTCATCACCATGGGAGGACTACCAGAGGGAACCCCGACAGGTGGGTGCATACTGGGAACAGGCGGAGGGGGAAGTGTGGGGCTCTCGTGGGGCCTGGGTGTGGGGATCTTGTTTGAGGAGGAAGAGGATGGGGAGCAGAGGGCAGCAGTGTCTGAGGGCGAGGTGGCAGAGGAAGTGGAAGGGGCCAAAGCAGAGGTGGTGGAAGGCCCCCCTGGTGACGGAGCTTTACGACGGAGGTCTGTTAACGGCGTTCCCCAAGATTCCGGAGTGAGCAGCTGTACCCCTCCACCACACTCCAGCTTACCATCCCCACCAGTCCCATGTCCTGGGTTACACAGTGCTCCAGGCAGCGCAGCCTGGGTCTCCTTGTAGAAAATGTCCATCTTATATTGGTTCAGGCATTTGGCACTGCAGAACTGCAGCCTTCGCTCACCAGCACCAAAGTCCAGGTACTCCTTAGTGTGGCGAATATGTTTGCACCAGTCACACACCTGCAACAAAAAGCACACACAGTACACACACTGCATCAGCACCTGTCACATTGCATACAAAAGACTTCTAATTTGTTTTAGATGAAATACAACACAATCTCCTATGAAGTGCCCTCGTAAGCAGAAGCTCAGCCTCCACACCATCTGGAGATAAACACATTTAAAAAAGATTATTTTTTAAGGAATATTATGCTGTTTCTAAATACTTCTACAGATCTGTCAAGAGCACACACTTAACTTTGAAATTCGTATAACCCACATGTCTGTATGTATTTGATTTATGTAATGTAGCTGTGTGTGTTTGTGCATTTGTCTATGCTGAAAGGTAAATGTGCACCTGATGGCATTCTGCTGCTACGTGGTATTGAAGTGACTTTGTCTTTAACTTTCTGTCCTAACAAGGAAATGCCCATTTACACCTTCTGTTGGCAATAAAGACACTCTCAGTCTCATTTAACCACAAATCCCTAGAAGACTGACGCCCCAAGCACAACAAGACAAAAAGATTATTTCCCTCAAATGGCCTTCCACACACAAGTGTGTGCCAACTACGAGACAGCCACTATAGTTAAGTCTGTTTGAGTGCTAGAGAGATACTGTATAATGTTTATCCTAAAGAAATGACCAATACTGAATTACATAGAAAACTGCTGCTGCAAGTTTCAGCTTTCAAGCACTTTGCACTCCAGGCCACACCCAGTTCACTAATGATCTGAAAAGCATTTTGACTGTTGTAATGGTTTACTTTAAATCTCTTCAGATGCATCAGATGATTGTTTTGATATGGCATCAGATGAATCACTTAATGCAGAACTTTTAGCTCTGAAAACTTGAACCAGTGCTGACAATATTTCACTAAGTTAAAACATTAATTAAGTGTGTGGTTTTGGTGTCAATTATTTAAAATCAGAGAGCAAGAGCTTCCTCTAGAATATTTTAATAAGGATGTGTGTTCTGTAGTCTGTTGGGACATGAGTATTGCCATTCTGCATGTAGTAATGGAAAGTAAAGCAAATGCATACAGAAAGTTGAAAACAACATTGTTTTAAGTATAAAGCTGCCATTTTCAACAATGATTAACCATGTTACAGTGGCAGATTTATTTATCCACATCAAAAGACCAAAATGCAATGCAGCCTTGGTCTCCATCTTTTTCAAATACTGCCTAGATTGAGCACCCCAACACAGCACTGTTCTCTCTTTCCTTAATTTTTCAAATGGAAGATAATTTATACATAAAGGCTGTCTGGCATTATATGGTTAGGTGCTAGTATTATTGTGCCCACACTACATATAAGTGTAAGGTCTGGATAACACGAACACTTAACAATATAATACAATGCAGCACCACAGAATTCTTCAAAAAGTGCAATAACACCTCTCAAACCTAGCTTGTGTGTTCTGTGAATATACAAACTTCAGCCCTGGTAATGGTGTAAGTAGATTATTATTCCTATTGTTCACTGATATCCAATCATGTATATTGTCATTGTTCTTATTTGGATTTTTTTTACTGACAGCTGTATACATATTCTTGGCTCTTACAATGTCATACTAATCTCTTTCTTTAGGTATGACAGTAGTTTTTAGAATTACAAGATCACATGCAAATCAACTTTTTAGAGTCACAGTACTTTGCCAATTCAATTTCAAACAAAATTTTTCATCCAAACCATAACTGGATCCACACATGACGAGCCTACATTGCAAAGTTGCCTTTCTTGCTTACTGCAGTGGCAAAGATCCCAAAACACCCTGCTGCACTGTTTCATCACCGTTGTACACCTTTTCAGCACAAAAAGTGCAGATTTTTTTTGGGAAGAAAATGAATGTGACCCTGGTTGAGCAGATAGCAGTGGGCGAGCCCTGAACACGGCGTTACTCGTCAGGCCACACACAGCTCACTCTGTCAGCTCTGGGAGGAGTGGCAGGTCCTCGCTGGAGATAATTAAGGCATTAATCAGTTGTCAGACCCCTCAACGACATCCATCCATCACACAGACCCTTAAGTCCCCCAGCTGAATGTTAATAAGTTGAAGGATGCGAACCGGAAGGTGGATAAACTCCTTTTGCACGCTGCATAGCAACATTCGTTTACTTGGCAGGATCCTGTCTGGCAGCAGCTGAAAGACAGTGGACTCACATGGGCTGTTTGGGCAGATGCACTGTAGCACTGGCCAGGATTTCAAAAGAATGCATAGCATGCTGTCCTGCAGCTGCTACACGTGTAAAACATCAGGTTCTTTGCATAGATTATGTGTTTTACATCAGATTGTCCGGTACAAGGTAGACTGAATCAATGGAGAGGCATCTTTCAAAAGGACATGTTTTAAAAGATGTACTAAGGCTCTGCATTTGTCATAAGTTCAAAGTCATTATGCAGTGTCACTCAGGAGGGATAACGTGCCAAACTGCAATTTGGGAGGAATTTTTGACACTAACACATGAATAGAGCTCAGGACAAGCAGCTAGAAAACTCGAGGAACCACAGCAAAAGCAGATCAGAGACTGGACTACAGCAACTTCTATCCTTAAAGGTGTCAGTCCTTTGAATTCAACACGTTTTTTTAACTGCCCATTTAGTCCTGGCTAATTCAATGAGCCATGACTGAGTAAAAGTCAAAAAGGTGCTCTCGCAAGTTGAGCTTGATAATGGTATGCCCAGGATATTCTAAATAATAAATGTGCTGAAATTTTCCTCGACTCAGAAAGACAGATGGAGAGCACTTAACGACTTTCTGCACTGTGAGTGAAATTTCACTGCGCATTACGCTAATGGAGTTGTGCTTTCTCTCTCTGTCTCTCTCTCTCTCTCGATCTCTCCCCACTCTGTACACAGATGTTTGCAGTTGAACGTAATTATGGTCATTTATTTCCATCGTAGCCAACGAACCAGTACCGGTGGTGCAGTTTAACCGTTTGCATTACAACAATTATCGTGCTTCCAAACAAGCGCAATTGCCTCAGCAGTCATCGTTCCATTCCTCCCCTCACCCTCCAACCCAGTGACGAGGCCAGTGACATTTAAGAATCCCAAGATCAGGCAACAGCTAGCTTTAGTGTATAATTAGTTTACATTAACAAGTTAGGTGAGGAGTTTCTTAAAACGGCGACCGGAGGGCACTCTCAGGGGCTAAGGGACCGGTTGGAGAGTATTAAATTGCTGCAGTCACAGAGATGAAAGAGGAGGTTGTGGACCAACAGGTTGCAGAGGAGGATGAGAAAGTTTCAGTGAAGTGAGGAAGAGGAAGAGGTTGCAGATGTTAAAGAGACTGCAGAGGATGTGGAGGATTTAGATAATGAAGAGGAAGAAGAGGAGATTGCAGAGGGTTAAGAGGCTGGAAGGTTTTATACGCTGCAGAGATTGGAAGGTTTCATAAGAGGCTGTAGTGCCTGGAGTGGTTTTATATGTAGGATGAGGAGGTTTCTAAGAATGAAGAGGTTTAAGCAGTAAAAGTGCATAAAGGGACAGGCTTGTATATCTCCCTGTTAAGGTCGATATGTGATTCTTTTGACACTTCTCAGATTGCTGGTATAATCGCACAGTGCAAAACACAAGGATTAAACCCATGAAAAGGAACCAGGTGCTTGATGCGAGCCAGTCGCTTGGTTTTTAGTTAAGTCGTCTCTTACTGCAAACAATCTGCAGCAAAGTATCCACTCTTGACAATTAAAGTCCATCAGTGATGTAAAGAAGGCAAACAGAAACAGTGAGCTTCTTGCACTGTGGATTCAGTCCAGAAACTTGATTGTGTAGCAAGAGACTGTCATCATAAAGCACCTGGTCCACTGGAAAAAGAAAACAGAATAAAGCTTCCACTAAAGTTTAAACAAGAAAATTAAACTCTGGCAATGCTTAACAGACCATCTGCAACATGTGGACTTGTTACTATGATTAGCCAAAATATCAGTTTACAGTGGCCTCATTTATTGAAATATCTATCATGATGGTTATAATTACCTGGCTCACCAAAGGGGAAACATATCTGGTTCATATCCTTTCCTAGTGTTTTACTCTGATATCGGCTACACTGTGTATCTGACTTCTTCATCAAAGCCTGAATGGAGCATGAAGAGTTTAAACTGTAGATAAAAGCCAAAGAAGACCAGCACTGCTCTCCCTGTGAGGCCTGTCTTATCACAGCCAGCCATCACCATCAGTCATTATAGATGTGACATACAAAGGCCATTCTCACTTGGCCAGGTGAACCTCGATTGCACTATATTTCACAGCACACACTCACACGCGCACAGTGAGTAAAATAGCTCCAGCTGTAAGAATGATGAGACAAACCTGGTGGATTGTGTTTGAATATCACTGCACCAGACTGGACCGCTCTGAGACGCAATATCTTTGTTGGCATGTGGCTGTTGGCCACATGTTTGTTTTTTCTTGTGGAACATCTTTGCTTAAAGCAATAGTTTGACATATTTTTGGGTAATGTGGTTATTTCCTTTCTTCGAGTTAGATGAGAAGCTCAATCATGTCTGTGTGCTAAATATGAAGCCTGCAGCAGGAGCATATCTATGTTCCTGTGGTCCTAGGTTCCCTAACCCCCTGACCATAACTCTAGAACTGGGGAACATAGGACTGTGGGAACATAGGAATGACCCCCCTGTAGCTGATTAGCTTAATTTAACATAAAGAAACAGCTAGTCTGTCCAAACATAAAAACAAATCTGCTTACCAGCACCTCTATATTATATCTAATTTGTCTAATCCTTGCAAAAACCTAAGTATACAAACAATATGCTGGGGTTTTAGAGGGATTATGTGCTGAATTATTTCTTGGTTAAACAAACAAGGTGCTGTTAGGAGGATTTTGTTACATTCAGACAGAGATTGGTAGCTACCTTCATATGTAGCTTACAAATACAAGCATTATTGATCTTCTCATCTCTCATCAAGGTAGTAAATAAATGTTGAACTATGGCTTTAAAGGAAAATTGTGGTCCTTTACCACTTTTGTAGTTCTGGCCACCATTTCTATCAGTTCTACTCACAATTTAATTTTCTGAGATCAGGAAACACAACATTGTTAAAAATGAAGCCCAGTGGGGCAAGACATGAGCAGTCAGACAATTAGACAGGTCCTTCCCTACAGCGAGTACAGTGAGCCAATATTTCAGTAAATCCGTCTATAATCTGTGATGGATGATTAAAGCATACAGTTTGGGTTATAATTTTACGGTTTGATATTGTTTTTTAATCCAAAAAAGCTTGGATATCCTGGGTCTGGCTGGTGTTTCTTGCCCCATCTGATCTCTTGTTAGTTGTGGTCCCATTATCCAAGATCTCAGTAATTAACTTGGTAAGTACAGTGTTATTATTAGACATACAGAATGCATAGACATTATGTTTAAAACTATGAAAATAAGACCCATGTTGTAATAAACCTGAATACTCCTTTAAGTCTACATTAGCAGCATATGCATGGTGTGTTGGTGGCATATATTTTATAGTCTTTTTGTTATAATGAAGGGTCCACCATACAGTTTACTTTTACTAAATTATGAATGATCTATGTCAAACATATATATCACTGTGCTCAATAAATACAAACAAAAATAATTAAGTAAATCCACACTATTCAATATAGTATATATGTTAATGTCATAAATATGTTATCATTGCAATGATATCATACCAACTTTAATTCTGGATTAGTTTACATTTGTCTGATAATTCCCAACAGTAGTTGCTGAATATGATGTATAAGGAAAATGAGCAAAGCAAATGATTACGCATGAAAAAAGTTATGAAAAGCTCAAACTTAAATGTATGCAAACTTCATGTAAAACATGAGTGCCGCTTGTGTACTGTCTCTTATATTTGGGCTGACCTGAGTCTGATGGTTATCTACCTTTACAGTAATGCCCAAATATGACCCAGTCTATTGACATGTCAGGAAGAAATGACTTGAAATTATACACTTTTGACAAAAAAAACAACATCAAAACATATTTGTGCAGTAGCCATCAAGCTTAAACTCTATCTGGTGTTAAATGGTTATGGTCCTTACAAGCACATCGCTGTTTGTCTTGAAGACAAGCCTGGGCGTGTCCTGAGTAAAGCTGTGCTGGGGTAATTTCCCACCGAGGCCATCGTCGTCTCTCGCCTGGGGGGAGAAATAATGGCTTCTTTTTACGAATGGACAAAATAAACAGGTGAACAGAGGCAACAAGGAAACTCAGAAATGGAAAACAACACTGAGAAAGATAAACAGAAATGGTGACTGTAAATGGGTGAAGAGTCATTGGTTTGCGGACAAACCAATCAACAGGATTCTGCAACAAAACTGTGTGCGTGAGTGTGCATGCATGCATGTGCGTGGTTGAGGAATCTGCAAGACATTCAAAGTGCTGCCTGCCACCACAGTGTGTGTGTGTGTTCACTCAAACATTTATTCAAGATATAAAGATAAATTAAACACATTTAAATTAAAACCTAATTTAGTAATACCACTCCATATTAACATGAAGAAATTGAAATGAATGGAAGGCTCTGAAACCTGTATAAGATCTCTGTTAATACACACATTTGCAGTTGCACTACCTTGGTAACACATAGCATACAAAGCAGGAGTCGTTAGTAACTCTTCAGTCATGCTTGTTCACTTGTCTAATTTTCTCCATAAACTCAATGGGAGGTTGGATAGTATATTTAAAGACGCTGCCACCCACACAGGTGTTTCCCTTATTCTTGTTGATAAGACTTCTGCTCAGATTGAGTGGGGGTTTGCTGAGAAATTACATGATTTCACAAAACTCTTCAGCCTGAATTAGCGTCTTTAGTCGTATTCTGTATTATAGCAGTTCATTTTCAAGTGACACGAGATACAAACCAACAGTGCATAGCACCTATAAAAGCAGCTGAATTGATTATCAGTGTCAACATTGGATTTTATTTTTATGTAATTGCCATTGATGGTGCATTTGCAACAGTTTGTTGATACCTCCATAGAGCTTTTCACCAAGTGGGAGATATCATCAGTGTCTGTCCTGTCCATATCAGTGTCCTGATATTTCTAACTTCCAATTGCAAGTGAGAGGCTGTTTTTTCCTTTTATTGCCTTTCATTGATAGTGAGAGCTGTAGAGTGACATGAGGGAGGAGAGAGAGGGGGCGACATGCAGCAAAGGACTACAGGCCGGAGTCAGACCCATGGCTGCTGCAAAAAGGACTCAGCCTTGGTTCATGGAGTGCTCCAGCTCTACCAGGTGAGCTATCCAGGCACCCCTTTTTTCCACTCTGCTGCTTGTAAGTACAGTTTAAACAATATGACATTAACATTATACTGAAGTGAATTTATTGTGCACCTTGACACATTATTCCAAGATTGTTAGCTTTCTTAGTCACACCATATAAACAGCCTAAATCAGCTATTTTTATTGTCTTACATATAATTAGCTCACAGTTAAAACCAGATATAATCCACTGATGTAAAGCTTATTTTTAATTGGATAAATCTACTGAATAAGGGTCACTGGTTTGCTAACACTTGTGTAGTTATTTTTGCTAAAGGGGTTAATATCTTACCTGTCAGAAGTTCCTGATATCTCCGACCTAACAACTAAGAGGCTGACATGAACGGTTTCTCCCTGCTTACGGTCTGAATGACAAGACATGAACTCAGCATAATTACATTTAAAGGTGGAGGTTTTCCACCTGTAACAGGTGCAATAAAGCTAAGTAAGCTATGAGTGAGTGAGATGTAAATCACAGTTCACATCACCGCAGTCCTCCTGAGTAAAAGTGTAATCAGTCAAAGCAAGTAAAAAATACCTGCATGGGTGAAACAGGAGTGTGTAGGGGCTTCCCTCCATGGACTAAACCATACAATTAGCTAATGCTGGCTAAGGAACATCTAATTTCTTTTTGACAACCCGGGACTTTTTGTCATATTTTTGAACAATGTAACAAAAGGTTTTACGGAATCACTTTTAGTTGCAATGGAAAAAGTACAGCAAGCTTATCAGTATTTCAGAGTAAACTGCAACAGGATGAATAAACCTCAACACAAAGAACAGACTTATTACCTGGCTTGGTTCTGATTGGACAATCAACACAATTTGAGAACTAATAAGAAACACTGCTGTTTCACACAGACCACTGCTCCACATCTACCAACACTTATCAAAGATAATTAAGAAGACATTGTTCATGGACACATCAAACACTAATAGAACATCTTGGGCAAGACTTTGTAAAGTAACGCCAGATATAATAAAACAATTTCAAATTAGTACTTAATATCAGATCAGTTAAAGTCATTGGTAAGTTGCCGTGTTATAAGCAGGCATGATATGCTTTTGGTTTTTGGGTTTGGTTGTCTTGTATAATTTTGAGAAAATGACTGACTCGGTTCAATATAATACTTAGAGCTGGTTGACTTGGCGATGAATGTAATTGTAATTGCTGTAAAAACATGAAATACTGTGGTTGATTGCTAACAGTATGCTATTAGGCAGTTTTGGCGTGAATAGGGGATTCCCTGCACTTATGTGCCCCAGCCAAAATTATGCTGCATGTTAGTGGTCAATATATGACAGAATGATAGTAGTACCACAATGTATTCTTGTAGAAATTACAGCTACATTAGGTAAACTATTTAATCTTCTCAAACAGTAGCTGTTGTGGGTTTAATTTCCCATGCTGTAATATTACAATACAAAATTCCTTTAAGCATTTATACCAGCTGGAAAAGGAGCCAACCTTCTCCTGCTCTCTGTGAGTCATTCATTATGCGCAGTGTGAAAACTGAGGCAGTCAGTGCTGTTATGCCAGGTGTGGGCAATTTTGTTACTAAGAAGTTATTGGAGAAGCTTTCCCTGGCACAGTGCCAAATTGCTCCATTGTGTTTCATTAGATTAAATGCACTTTTATATAATATAGACCTCAGTGTGAAAAAAGTGGTTCATATCTTGCAGCCACTGGGCACTGAGCCACCGTTATCAGAAATGGAGATTTAACCTCAATTATACATGTTCATCATGCCGTTTGCAGCCCCCAAGCTGACATTTCATACTGAGCCTATGCCATTGACAGGTGAGCCACTGGCCTGAGCAGCTTTCTTTCATATCATGTTCTTTAAATTGCTCGCTGCAACCTTTGATTTGTCATGGGTAATTTGGCCTGCAGCTCTGTTCATCTCTCGATGATATCAAAGGGCAATTCTGGTGTATATTTTACATTTTTTGTCCAAAGACTGATTGAGTTTTCCTTTGCTTCCATCTGCTTCCCTCACCTCCAGGTAGGGTTTCCCATTCCAAGCATGACATAAATCAAATATGGCTGTCGTGTGTCTCGTGAAGCGTACTGTTATTTGTACTGGAAAAGATACAGTGTAAGAATCTGACAGAAAACATTCGTTCAGAATCAGCACTGACATTTTACAATGTAACAGTGGAGATTTTTTACTTTTTCACAAAAGGTTAGAGAAAACAAAACCAAAGATTACGGGGTCATGGTTATTTAGAAGCTGTCAGTGCACTAAGTGAACAGTAGGTGTGGGCTGATCCATTTCAACAATTATCTGTCAGACACACACACACACACGTTGGTGCCATGTCTCCTCAGCATGAGCACGGACACATCACACAGACTCACAGGTGAACACACGAATCTGGGCAGGCATTTGAGGATACACACACACACACACAAAGATACACCATTGTGCTATTATTCTGTCTCCAGTTTGTGCTCTGACCCTCTGGCCCTGCGCCAGTTCATTTGCATATTGTACTAATGAGGTGTTGGCACTGTGAACGAGGCGTGAGGCGCACACAGGGAGCCACACACAGATAAAGGGATGGGATTAAGACAGATAGATAGATAGATA